AAAAAAAAAAAAAAAAAAAAAAAAAAAAAAATCATAGACTAGACCAAGCTTTTTAAGATCAGACTGGAAAAGCTTTTTAAGTGAAACACTGTAGGTAACAACTCAGATTCTCTGAATCTACGCGATGTCTGCAGAGGTAGTGCAGTGTGTGTGACCCCCTCCTGGATCTGAGGTATACAAAAAAGTCAGATTCTTTTGTCTTCAGTGAGCAAAGAGGGAACAGCCAGCTCTGCATTTTCTTCCAGAACTCAGATAAATGGCACACAAGATGGTACAATGGGACAGCACTGAAGAGGAGTATGGCCTCTATCCCCTTGTGCTATAAAAAGCGCTTTTTTTAATCTTGTGGGGTATTTTAAAATTTAAATAAACTATGCTATGGTCTATACAAATCTGCATAGGCTGCTTTTCACAAAACAGCAGAAAAATCAGGCTGGACAGACTTAGAAAAATCAGACTGAGGAACAATTAAAGGAACCTTTTTAACTCTGCTAGAATAATACCAGCCCCAACACAAAAAATAAAATCAGGACAAGCCTGCAATCAAATTTCATTTCCATTTCACTGAGACAACTCTGACACTTACAAGAGTATTTCACCATTTATTGAAAGAGCACTTGTTACAATACAAACCAGTTCTGCTTTTCACAAGGCAGATGCTTGCTCTTAAGACAATCCAAAACTTGTTTTTTCTTAAACAATGGACAGATCTGAAAATCCCAGTTAATTCAAAGGCAGCTCACTGCTTTCTTTACAGTACAAATGGGTACACAGCATAGATTTCTCGTGTGGCAGCTCTCGAAGAGGTTCAGTGGGAAGTATCAGAGTCAAATTTCAACATATAAAGGCTAAAGAAAAAATTTCAACATATAAAGGATAGAAGACAAACAATGAGGGAGATATTGAAACTATGCTGAATGTACTGGTAAAAATAGCAATCCTCTAATCTGACAGATCCTTACATTCAGATTGCTTGAGAAAGGATGCTGAAGTCAATCAAAGGAGCATTAGTGACATGCATTTCCCCCACCTCACGCCCCCAAATCCACGTGTCCCTAGTGAGTCCTAAAGGATATTTAAGGAATCACCACCAAGGCCCAGGTGGATACAAGCCAGCTGTCAAAGCACACAGCACATCAGCACTTAGCAATGGCAATTAAGCTTACTAAGACAGCACTCCCATCATGGATGCCACACTTGCATTAACCTGAAAGCTTTTCCACACATTCCTTTATGGAAGCAGCTGTATTACTCTTCATTAGCTCCATTAATACAGGATTTGAAGTGAGACGTGTGTCTATTTCTGAAGAGTGCAAGGGAGATTCATGAGTACTCACACTGCTTCCCTTATGAGGCATTAATTAATATTCAATTCTTAAAGTGGGCAATTATTTTTATAAGATTTTTTTTTCAAGTTTCATTTCTGTACTATGCTCCTAAAAGCCAGGAAAAAAACTGCTTCCTCTGAGCAGACTGCACTCCATTTTGACATTGACTATCCTTTTTCTTTTTTGTGAAATCATAAAATAACAGAATAGGCTGTTTTTCTAGTGCTGCACTAGAGCAGTGGGGTAAGACAAGACTGATGGCAACCTATTGTTCATCGTCACCACCACCCAGGCATTTACAGATATTTCTTCTTAGATTTTTAAGCTGAAATAAAGTTGGCAAAAACTTTTTAGTGTCTAGCGTTAAAATATCAAGTAGCAGGAGTTTTTAATCTCGTGTCAGTACATGTAGTTGGATGGACTTCGAAATTAACTCCATGTTCAATCACGTGGTGATTTCACACAGGCAGCCACAAGCCTCAACAAAAATGGGACACAAGATAAAATTGGTTTGGTCTTCTCTCATGACCTATCCCATGCAGACAACTGCTTGGCTTTCATATTCCTATAGAATTGAGAGGATTTTCTCGAGCATGCATTTTTAAGAGTCCAAGCCTTCTGAGGATGTGAAAGGACTCATTATTCTTGATATGCACAAAATCAAAGTGCAATGCACTACTAAATCAGGATTCTAAAATAAAGGCAACAGCAAAAAATTATTTGCAGCCCAAAACTCATTTTGCAATTCTGACTCAAGCTCAAAGAAAGTATTGCTCATTTACAAGGCTTCTTTTCCTTAAGAATCAAGACATTTTTGGACATGATGCTTTATTTCCTTCGTTCAAGTAGGCCAAAGCATGAGACAAATGCAAGTTACAAAGCCATTATTTGGACACAAAATTAAACCTGCCATAAGAAAAATGTCCCAGAG